AAACATGCGCGAAGTATAAACAGCAGTTGAATCTAGCATGAATGATATAGCATTTTAAGAGGCAAGGCTACATGGAATTCTATCTATTCTGGGGTCTACTCATCGTCTTTTGGGGAAACTTAACTATTACTCCTAAACCATCGAGGATGTCCAAGTTCGTATTCATGAATAGTACAGAAGAAGTAGCTACACCGTTAAAGACTGCCGTTCTGAAAGGTATAAATGCAATTTAGCGTAAAGCTGTATAGCAATAGAATATATACTATATTTTTCGCATTTAAGTATGGGATGTATTCACGCCCATCTTGGATGAGAACAACTTTTGGGAAAGCAAGGATATCTGAAATTCAATGTAAATGTCAGCTCTACTCATATCATATTGGGAAAATTCTTCTACCAGTCCTTCATCACTTTAAATAAAATTGGGTGAATACATCTCAGAATATATGCCAATGGCACACATTAACTTGCAATACTTGGCTCACTTGACATTCGCAAGGCCGTCCCGATGTCGCACTTGCACTCCTCGAACACAACCCACAAGTCCCACGAGCCAGGTTAACCTCTCCTCGATGTTCGCCTCAACAAGCAGCTTCTTCATTTCAGCCATCTGCTCCGGCTGTAGACCCCCGATATGCACTTCCGGGAAGCCAAGGTCGGATCTGGCGAATTCCGCCCTCCGAGGAGGCGTCCGACGTCGGAGGCCGTCTGGCAGCTTCGAAACCGGCCAACCCGAGGTGGAAATCAGATCGACTTGTAGCTCCTGGCTCTGACATACAGCCTGCTTTTGCATAGTGTGATCAGCCTGCTCCTCACTCCTCTTTGGTGGCCATAACAATCTGATGCGCTGTTTGCATTCCGGCACTGCGTCAACGGCCAGCGGGCCTCCGCGAGGAGGGCAATTCTTGAAGTTATCTGTTTCAATCTGACACGCCAGCGACAGACTCACGTTGACCTGCCCATCTGCCGTGTTGTTGACAGCGAACTCGTTCGGTGGTGAGATATCAACTAGCAGGCGATACCAAATGGAAGGGCGAAGGATGCCGATGCCCGAGAATCGGCGCGTTGCCAGGAGGAACCGGTGCGGCCGGCTGGCCTGTACCGCGCTTTTGGTACCCCTAGTCGCACCCAGCAACACAGTCAACTCACCAGACGGGCTTCGATAGACGAGCACATCCAGCACCGGCTCCGGTTCGAGCCCTTCCTCCTTTGAGGTGGAAGCCTCATCGACCGGACCGCCGGTCGTCAACGGAAACCGGACATAAAGCAGCAGAACAGCCAGCCCGTTCGGCTGGTTCGGCTCAAACTGGCTTGGGGCGGCGAGAAATTCGAGGTCAACGGACAATGGAGAGGCTCGGAGAAGCGACTTTCTAGTTATTTGGAAGACTATACGGCCACGACCTCCGGCCGGGAACCCTGTGGCCCAGAGCCGACAAGTTGGCCCACTTGCGCCTAGACGACAGAGGCAGATGCACTCTTGTCTGTGCGATTGGGCCATCGGATTGGGCAGACAGGCCAGCGAACCGACAGGGTCACAGGCGCTCAGAAGACGGTCGAGCTCGTGTGGCGTTTCTTGGGTCGCCGTATCGGCACCAACACAGTCTGTACTGTTGCCGTTCTTTTCTGTTTCCAGACTCAGAGCTTCTTTAACTTTGCCATCAACTTCGCGGTCAGAAGTCCTCTCACCCTCTAAATCGTCAGATTGTGCCACAGACACAACTGTAGACACCGGAAGAGGTCGGCCACTGCTTCCTTCTGGGCGTCTGGGTAGACTAGTCCCCCCGAAAATCCGGTCATCGGCAGAGGCCTGACAGGCATTGGAGGGACCGGCAGATGATCCAATCGTAAGTTGAGTCAAAATTCGAGGTACTGAACTCGTGCTGGCGTCAGCCTGGTAAAGCAAGAATAATGAGAGGTTAACTATTCTATATTATGTGATTAATTAGCCGAAATACGAGATGCATTCACCGTATTTTGTTTAAGGTGATAAAGGACTGGTAATAGAATTTTCCCTTAACTATATGAGTAGAGCTGACGTTTTTATTGAATTTAAAATAGCCTTCCTTTTCCAAAAGTTGTTCTCATTTCGAAACTCTACTTATATATATATATATAAGTAGAGTTTCTAATTGAGAACAACTTTATATATATATATATGAGATGTATTCACCCTAGTTCAATTCTCCCACAGGTATAAATAGGTATTAGGTTTCTTCCCAAAAGGTACATTCATCCAGGCTGGAGTGGACTGCTTTTTCGACTTCGCCTAGGTCTCATCAGCCCCACCAGCGAGACTCGAACCGTGATAGTTCAACGCATAACCACTACGCCGCACTATGGATTTGTGTGCCGAGCCAATACTCCGCCCTAAGAGGATTAGAATCCGACTGCGGATGCTGATGAGACCCAAGGGCACTAGTGGCAATGTGACCGAGCAGTTAACGTGTCAAGCTCACATTCTACACTGTCACGGTTCGCCTCCCGCTGGGGGTGTTGATAAGACCGATGCGAGGTCGAAAGTGAAGTCCACCCTGGATGATAACAATCTATGGGAAAACAAGGCAATGCGAAATTCAATGGAAATGTCAGCCCTACTCATATCAGTGTGGGAAAATTCAACTACCAGTCCTTCATCACCTTAAACGAAATTAGGTGAATACATCTCATATTACTGATTTACTTGTAGTCTCGAAACTCTACTTACATACGACAAATTTAAAAGCTTGAATTACTAGTGACCATAACTGATCTTTATATAGATGGATATTCGGTATTTAAGAAATATTCTTAGGAACTAGTTCAAGGCAATGTACAGACTTACTCCATAGATTATCCCCTGCAAGTCTATCATTATTCAGGGTGAGTTGATCTTGAGGTTCTCCGTACTTCTTGAATGAGGACTCGCCATTCAAGATGGTTTAGGCACTGGTAGATGAAGTTTCCCATAATGAAATTGGTGGGCATCACGAGTTCAGTAAATTTCTAATCAAAAGTGGATTTATGGTTTGACCTAGTCTAGGTCTCACCTACGACCCTGATAGGATTCGCCACCGGGCATTAAGTATCATGGCGACGCTACCATTAATCAATGCAACTTAACATATAAATGGGTCACGGGGCAGATAAAACCTTGAAAGCAAGCCAAATTTCTCCCAAATCATATAGATGTATTGTTGGGGGGACTTTCATTTCATATAAAAGTGCATTAAGAAGAGATTCGTAGGTCGATCTCACTAGAAGAAGACGGCTGAATCCCGTTGTACTGCAACTGTTTAGCTTTTATACGGACTGAGCTTTCATCCATCATTTGATGGACATCATCAAAGCTGGGCGTCATTCTTGTAAAAGTCTCACGTTAACACTAGGCCAAGAACACTATCCGGCTCTAGCTTACCTCTTAAATAGACTCAATTAAGCAGTACAACGGGATTCATATGTCCTCTTCTGGTGAGATCGACCTACAAATCTCTTCTTCATGCACTTTTATACGAAATGAAAGTCCCCCAAATCATTTAATTTAGACGGAAAGGACTCTTTATATAAGCAAGAGGCACAGGTGTAGATGAAGAAGATGCCAATTGACTTTAAATTCAATGACTGTAATTGAATCATTTAGGTTGAAATCAGAGTAGCTGTTTAGAGATTAAGGTCCTGCAGGTAGGACCAACAACACTGATCACATGATATCGCTGTAATCTTATTAAGGGGACGTAAGTTATGCGTGAATAACAATGACTTGCCGATAAATGTGATTAATAGTGCTAAAATCAAATAGAACATTCTTCATATAAATCTCTAGTTCATGAGGATA